CAAATCTTACATGTGTACATTCACCCTACTGAGAAATACTGTAAATTATTTTGGATGAGTGTTGAAATAGCTTCATTGCTCCTCGTATTGATTCATTTTGCGATAAAATGTAGAGAGTTATCGCCAACACCTCTCACAAAGTTGTCTTGGACGAGCCATTAAATCCATGATTTCTGTGTAGTTTCTTCAACATATCGTTGACTACCATCTGTGTCGTGTGGAATATATTGCTAAATCTCATTGGGTGGCCCGCAAACAACTCACCAACCCATTTATCGTCAATATCTGAGGATGTCATGCAAATGAAGCGCTCTATGTACGAGTTATAATATTTGTACATCAAGCATACGACAACTGCAACTCCCCTCGTGCACCTTTCTCTTGTTTCATCCATCTATTTTAGTATCGAAGTGGCTTACACATAGACATCAATGAATTAGCTACGATCATATAAAGTTACAAACAACACAATAAACATATAAGTATCAATGAATAAACATATAAGACATTTCTCAAACAGTTTAAATATCCAAAGCAATTGTAAAATAACAAACAAATATAAATGTCTCATGCGATTGTAATTAAAAAGAAAAGTTTGTCAATTGTTCCTGCTCTCATAAAAATATCGTAGGTACGCCACCTTATGGTCATCGGGCATCTTAATGAAAAAATCTCTCCAGGTCGAATATTCAAGCAACTCCATGAAAACAAGTACAACTGTAAGTCTCCAGAATATTCTAGAGTTGCATTTAGAATTTGCAGAACCTGGTCAATATAAGTTGCTTAAGATGTGTTGGGTCCATTGCTGCATGAAGTCATCAGCTATAATATCTGACTTCTAATGAAAGAATCTCTCTTTTTTTTATTTTCAACCCGCGAACTCTCAGAACAACATTTGGAATCAATTTCATGGAGGTGGTCCGGGTTAGGGCCTTCAGTGAAATCACCCGATTGAGCCAAATTTTCGGGAATGCCACCAAATCATGTTTCATTGCGGGCACATGCATTATCGCCCGTTGCCACGACACCCTCAAACATTTGATCCAACTCCTCAAACTCAGGATCAATTCCATTTTATTTAACTTTTTTTTTGTAACAGACACCACGACTCAGGATCAATTCCATTTTATTTAACTTTTTTTTGCAACAGACACCACGTACAAATTCATATAACATCTAGTTCAATTTAAAAACAAATTAAAAATTGTCCAAATTAGGGGACATTTAAAAAGAGTTTACCACTGTCCACCACTCATCGAAAGCATTAATCGTTCGTTTCACCGGATCACATCCCAAGCCCATTGCCCTTGTTTCAATTTCTTCATGTTTTTCCAATCATTCTTGAGTTGATCCCACTTGTTTTTTAATTGCATCTCATCGTACTCTCTGCCTATACATTTCTTGAATTTTCTAATAATAATATTTTGCCACCATTCCTTGTTGAAATAGGTTGTATGTTTATTTCTCAGATTGATCTCCTTGAGGCAATTGTCACAAAATATTATTTTTGTTTATTTGTCCCACCTTGCAGATGAACAACCCCCTTTGGTATTAACCATTGTATTTTTAGGATGAAAAAAATTAATTAACATAAATAAGAATGTCACAATATCGCAAATCAAAGAAAAATTATAATGCCGCAATATCCACACCATCACATCCACACCAACACACCAACACACCACACCACATCTCCACACCTCACACCAACACATCCACAAACCACATGACCACCTCCACATACACACCACCACCTCATATCACCTCCACACTACACATCACCACCTCCACACCATACAACTCTCCACACCACCACCTCCACACCACACCAACACATCCACACACTACCACCTCCACACCACACAACCACTCGACAGATCCACACCAACACATCCACCACCACCTTCACGCCACACACCAACACGTCCACAAACCACACAGCCACCACACTCCACACTCCACACTCCACCCTCCACACTCCACCTCCACACCAACACCTCCACAACACACCAACACGTCCACACACCCCCCCCCCCCCCCCCCCCACACCCCACAACCACTCGACGCCACCACACAAACACATCGATACTACCACATCTACACACCACACGACCACCTCCTCACCACACGACCACCTCCAAAAACACGTCCACACAACACCACACACCACACACCACACACCACACACCACACAACCACTCGACGCCACCACACAAACACATCGATACTACCACATCTACACACCACACGACCACCTCCTCACCACACGACCACCTCCAAACCACACACCAACACATTTATAAACCACACCACCACCTCCTCATCACACAACCACCTACACCACCAACACAACCACTCGACGCCACCACACAAACACATCGACACTACCACATCTACACACCACACGAACACCTCACCACACGACCACCTCCACACCACACACCAACACATTTATAAACCACACCACCACCTCCTCATCACACAACCACCTACACCACCACCTCCACACAACATACCACCACCTCCGTACGACACACCACCACCTCCACACCACACCAACACATCCACAGACCACCATCTCCACATCACACAACCACCCGACACCACCACACTGACACATCCACAACAACACCTCCACACACCACATCACCACCTCCACACCACACACCAACACATCCACAAGCCACACCACCAACTCCTCACCACACAACCACTCTACACCAACACCTCCAAACTACATACCACCACCTCCACACCACACCAACTCTCCTACACTATCACCTCCATTGGAATTGAAAATAGCAATTTGAAAATCCAACACCAATTACACCTTATTTTAAGGATACACAAAGCCAGCATGAACTTCCAGTTAAATGCCCAGTTTTCCCACTACAATTCTAGTGAAATTGAAAATAACAACATACAAATCCATCATGAAATTTTCACTGAAATTCAAAATTCTTGTTTCCAATCCATATTCAACACATACATAGCACCACCCAAAATATTGCTAGTAACAAAGCCAACTCTAAATTCCATCTATTTTTCAAATTCCCCACTGAAATATCAATGTTCATTAATAAATTCAAATCTCCCACAACATAAGCACCAAAAGAAATTGAACATACCACATACAAGGCATCCGAAGCATTGCTAATAGGATAAGCAAAAAAAAATCCAAAGATCATTGCAAAGCTCGTATACATCTAACATTGCGTGAAAGACATAAACCAAACCTTAATGGATGCAACATGAAGCATCAAAACCACATAATCAAGCATATCAAATCGAAAACCACCAAAATTGAGCAAACAAATATGAAACCAACTAGCATAATGCACTCAAACACACAGAGGAGAGAAAATAGGTGAAGAACAGAGAATACATGTAGAAGAGAGCACCGCACAGAGCTGGACAAGCGCACAACAACCAAACTGAGTCGAAGAAGAGAAGTGAGAGGGAAAAAGAGGATACAAATCTCAACGCAATAACCACCAACTGAAGAAAGTGATATACCAAAGCGAATGACTTCCTTCGCCACATAGAGCACAAAATGTACAAACCGCCAAAATTCGAGGTGAAGAAAAGAGGGCAGTGGGAGAAGAATGTAGGGGTCACCGGAACAACCACTTGCAACCAAAAATAGCCAACCGTAAGCAATGACTAGCCACCGGAGCCACAGATCCACGAGAGAGAGATACTTAGGGCAGAAGAATCGCGAGAGAGGGAGTGGGGTCAAGAGAGACGAGAAGAGGGACAACGAGGTAATCGAGCCCGTGATCGAGATAGAAGAAATGTGGGCCGTGGGATCGCATCCGTGGCCTCGTTTTAATGAATTAATTTAAAAACAATGTTACAATGCGAAAAACAAACGCCACAAATCACGGTTTGTCGCCGCACCGCATGAGTTCAGCCGCTTCAAACCCTAACCTAAGTTTTCCAGTCTGCCGCCATTTCAATTGTTTGTTAATGCTGTTAATACAACTCTTCTCTCCAGCTTCCTCTCTTTCCCAAATTAGGAAAGATTTACATGCATATCACACAATTCTTATGCATTTACATATCTAATATATTTTCTTTGATTTTTTTTTACATTCATACTATTTTTTTTTACATTTATACTATTTTTACCAATTTGAAAAAATGTATTTCACTTTTAAAGTTAGCAATAATAGTATTTTTCATGCGATGAGAAATAATTTGAGTGTAGCAATAATAGTATTTTTCATGCGATGAGAAATAATATGAGTGTTATAAATGTAAAAAATCAAAGTTTAAATGTTAGATATGTAAATATATAAGAATTTTGTAGTATGCATTTAAATACCTTCTAAAATTATTATTATAGTCTCTCTCAAATAGTTATGTTGACCATATAAAAGGGTTTAAGAATGCTCTTGATCGCTACTATTTTCTAGCTAAAGTCATCCGTTCTACGTGTACATGTGTCCTCTTTGGTGCTACTTGTTTAATCTTTTTGTTGCCTGATTTTCTACAAGTCCTTTCTCTTCTGTCTTACGCAAATTGCATTTGTTTGAAGATGTTTTTTTTTTATTGATTAAGCTCTGCATGGGCCAAACATTCTAACCCTACATGCCTGGTTCCTGTTCCCACAAATGCTATTAAACAATTTCACATGAGGAAATCTTATCTTCTTTCTAAATGCCACCTGTCAAGCTGTTGGACATGACATAAAACTTTATGGCCTCTTGACAATATTTGATGTAATTGTGCAATGTGAATACTTATCTTCTTCTTTGTTGCCACACTGCTGTGTGCACCCAATGAGCACTGATAGTTCCTCATCAATGATTAAGATACATCAGCTAGTATTTTACTGGCGCATACCTGTTAGCTCCAATTTGCTGCCGCGCTGTGCTGATTTATAGGGCTTGACAATATTTGATGTAATTGTGCAATGTGAATACTTATCTTCTTCTTTGTTGCCACACTGCTGTGTGCACCCAATGAGCACTGATAGTTCCTCATCAATGATTAAGATACATCAGCTAGTATTTTACTGGCGCATACCTGTTAGCTCCATATTGCTGCTGCGCTGCGCTGATTCATTGAACCAACAAAACTAAGGCTACTAGCTTCCAGATTAATAGCTATGGTCTCGCTTGTCCAATGTCAGCTCTTAATGTACAACTTTTTGGGCCCACTGAAGAGGTATTGGGAAGGCCAACTAATGTCAGGTGGCTGTATTGGCTAGCCAGCCCCATCGATGAGTCCTTTGATTGAGTTGTTAGCTATACCACAAACTCAAACTAGGTTTGCTTCTCGTGAGCTGTGTGTATGCACTCTTAAATCTTTGCCTTTTATAAGGGTTCGCTCATTGTAATTTCATGTATTAATTATGCAATAATTAAAATAAACATTTTAACTCTTGCGTTGTTTATTATTTTCCTGCATTTTCATTAGTTGATTGTGCTGGTAGACCTCTGTAACACATAATGTTGCACAATGTATTTGAATACATGAATAATCTCTTCTTGTTGGGAGTCTTCCTTCATTCTCAGGACCCAATTTACTATGGGGCCTTGCATTTATGTGAAGCCAATTTCATATAACACAGTAAACTTGTTCAATGTCAATCGTATTTGAAAATATTAGGCACGGTGAACATATGTGTGGATCAGTAGTATTTATGGTGATATTGTGGTCATATCATCACAATACCATTAAAATACCACCGATCCACACCTACGTTTATCGAACATAATAATTGCTCTAAACGTAGGGTCAAGCAAATCTAGTTCCACCATGCAAGTCATTGTTTATTGTGGCCCGCACGAGAGATAGGGATATGTGTGTGATGTGGGTAGTATATTTGATGAATTATTTAAGTTGGTAGAAGAGTGGGAAAGGACATTTTAGGCCAGTTAGGGAGTAGAGTTACATGGATAGGAGTATTGGTTGCTTAAAAAGTTAGTTTAGGAATTATATTTAAAATAGGATCTTTAAATTGAACCCTCAATAATTTTCTTCATGGTGAACAAAATATCATGAATTCAAAGTTGGTTTGAAGTGGAGGAAGTACAAGTTGGACTTGGAATGTTTTAATACTTTTTAGACTTTTTTTTAATATTTTTTTGATAATTAATTTGAAGATTGGTAAAATATAACCAGTCTCTCGACAAAATGTGGCAATATATTTATAGGAAGTTAAATTTTCTACACAAAACTCCAAATAGTTTGTGGAAAGTTTCAAAATTTTTTTGCAAGCATTTTTTTAGGTTTTAGTGGTTGTCATAGAAAGGTAGACAAATAAAAGGAATTCAAGATGGCATATTTGGTTTCATTTGATGCTAAAAAAATTTAGAAAATTCACAGGTAGTAGATCAATCAATATGTGCACGAGATACTTTTTTTTTTAGATTTTTATTGGTGGGGTGAATAGGGTTCTAAAGGGATCTAGATAGAAATTAGGTCATTGAAACCTTAGTTGTTTGTCAGCCCTTAAGCTTCGATTTTGATTGGAAATTTTGGAAATTTTGGGTACAGGATGTAGCACAAAATTTAGAAAAAAAAAATTAAGAGGGGACAACATACACAAAATGAATTTTCTTCATCCACTCTAGGATAAAGCACATGAATTAATTCAGTAGAAATTGGAGTCTTTTAAACATAACACAAGGAACCATCTCGTGACCATACTCCTTTTTTATAGCATTTGATTTTTTCACATGGAACAAGACTTCCAACCATAAATGTTGATTTAGTCTTCATTCATATGAAATAAGTTCACAAAGTGACAAAAACTACATTAACTTCTATATATAAACAACCACATCAAATACAACATATAAGTATCTAAAAAATATTTTGACATAAGATAACGTCCTCTAGTGAGCCGTCAAGTATTCCTTTTGGGTTGGCCTTTTGTTATTGGACCTCTTGGATGTGTGGTTGCTCTCTTGGATTGAGCTCTAGTATTGGATCCACCTTGTGTGCCTATGGGCCCAACCTTTGAGCCATCATAATGCGTCACATCTTTTCCATTAGATCCTAATTGGCTATTCTTCGAAAAGTTAGGGTCAAAGTGATATTGTGACATATTTGGTGTTAAATGATAAAGTTTATCCCAAGTTAGCCAAGCTTCCTCACTTGGTGGCTTGTTCTTCCACTTAATAAAGAATCTCTCAGTCGTATCTCCATTTGAAAGTGTCTTAATTGTAATAATGTTTTCCACTTCAAGGAGTGTGAAAGGGAAATTTTAAACATTTACATTTGGTGTGGAAATAATTTATCCATTTTTTTTATGTTTGTTTGTGATGCTACGATGTTGTGAAACACTCTTCAACCACACAAATATACTTATCGCTCAATTAATGTACTGATTTTTGAGTATGTGTACCAATCTCATTAGAAACTATATTAATTTTCAAAGAAGGCGAAAGTTCTAGTTTTACTAGTTCTATGTCTAGCCTAAAAAATCTGAGTTTTGGGAATTTTAAGCTTACTAAGGCTAATTTTGTTAGAAAAACTAAGGGTAGGGTTTTTCTATCAGGTAATAATCATGCTCCTTTGATTCTGATTGTGTGAATTCTCGTTATTCTTCCAATAAATTTCTGAAGTAATATTATGCACTAGGAAAAAAACCCTCTGTAGCCTCTTCTAAGGCCATAAGAAGTGTTGTAAACTTGCATTATAGTTAAGTTGGCTTAACAATGCAAAATTTCTTAGGAATCCTCTAATCCTCTATTTAGGTTGCAATCTCTTGCTAACAATATTTTTATTCCACTATGTGATTATATGTTATCCGACTCAATCTTCTAGATTATAAATAATACTCCTAGATCAAAAAAGCTTTTAATATTCCTAGTGCTCAGAGTAAAAGTAAATGAAGAGTAAGAGGATAACACATTAACATGTATTTATTCCTGAGAAATATTAAATAAATCTCATAGAAAACTATGTTTCATCACACATCCAATTCAAAGAAGCATAAAAAAATTAGTTCTTAGACATGTTCAAAAAAAACCAAAAAGAATTTATTGAAGAATCAAATTAGAAAGAGTTTACATAGGAAAAATCTAACCAGATAGTATAATTGCTTTGCTCCATTTTCATCACACATCCAATTCAAAGAAGCATAAAAAATTTACTTCTTAGACATTTTCAGAAAAAAAAATCAAAAATAATTTATTGAAGAATCAAATTAGAAAGAGTTTACACAGGAACAATCTAATAAGATAGTATAATTGCTTTGCTCCACTAACATTCTCTCTTGTACAATGATCTCCAGTTGATAGCACTCACACTTTATAATGAAGAAATATCCCCACCAAACTCTCTATAAAACACTCTGATTTCTCCTCCATACTTTTACTATGGATAGGATTTTATAATTACAAACGAGGAAGACACAATTTTTTGAATCTAAGTAATTTAAGTCATTTGCCCATCCACATAGACATAAAATTGCAATAGCTTCCATAAGTTAGTTTGGAACGTTGAATTTTCTGTCACTAAAGTTGGCATGTGTAAGAGGGATATGGAGCAAGCACCGTGATTCCAAGAGGGGTGTTGGGTAGCTCTTACCCGAAGAAGTTATGGGTTCTCACTCGCAACAATAGGTTTACACCTTTTTGTTCTACACATCTCCTATTCGAGCATCTGATGACCTAGTTCAAGTATCGGATTTCTGAGATGTCTATTCATGATCAAAGGAAGCATGGCAAGTGCTAGGTTTCTTCTTTATGCGTCGGTTTACTGAACCAAAAATTAGGTAATTTTACCTCTAGCTGCTCTCTTTGCTAACAAACAATTCTGCAACTTGCAATAACACATAAAAATACCTTGGATAATCATAAAAACATACAAGCAATTGAGTAAACATAACAAATTATACGACATATTTTTTACAAATAAAATTCTCCCAAACTTAACTATTTCTTACCCTTAAAGGATTTAACACCTAAAGTTAATATTTTTGAAAATTAATGGTAGCTTAAGTTTAAGATCTCATGGTTCTTTAATAATAAAGTAAATAAATCATTCACGATATATAAAACACTTGAAAAGATTATGGGTACATTTGGGGCAGATTATAAGTGCGGGCGGCTTTTTCAAAACGTCGTCGTACCGTTTGGTTCGCGCGTTTCGCCAGCTTATTCGAAACTGTGTTTAAGTTTTAACACTAAACGCAGGCCACGGGTCGACACCCCGGCGGCCGGCCCGCGGACCGCTTTTCAGGATAAACAGCTTATCCTGAAACGCACAAGATACCCCAAACGAACCCTATATTTTCAAAGAATTTCCTAATTTCCTAACCAAACTTAAATTAAATTACTTTCGATATATTTATCTCCAGATCACTTATACCATTTTAGCAAGTAAACTATTCCTTTCAGATATGTATAATTTAATTATGACCAATCAGTCAAATAATGCTAAATCAGTTATGACTTTCTTAAAAAATCAGTATTGTAAATTTGAAGTTAAGGAAATTCTTGATTCTCTAATTTTTAGAAAGGAGGTTGGCACCACTTTTTAAAATTCAAGATTAAACTCGAGCTTCACCTTTAAAGCTTGTAATATATATATATATATATATATATTCAAATTTTCCCTTTTTTTCATTTTTTGATTCTCTTTTCTTTTCTTATTTTTATAGAAGATTACTATATGTTAAGTTTTTCTTTAATAAATTTGAATACCAACTCTTTCCTAAGCCAAATTTCCATTTATCTCCTAACTTAATTCAAAATATTAAAAATTCAAGATACTTTAACTAAAAATTAAGTTATTTGAGTTGACTATTTATTAAATCTTATATATTTAATCAGTTAATTTTTAGTTAATTTAATAATTAGTCAATATTAATTTTTATGTTTAAGATTTTCTTATAGAAGAATGCATAATAGAAGTTAAATGTTAGATATTAGCGAATCTCTAATAGTTTTGGATTCTTACTAAAAATTCATGTTATCCACATTGATTTTTTTCACCTCTTATTAAATCACCTTGAATATTAAATTAATCACTTTTATTGAAATTCTATGATTCATATATTTACTTTACTTTAGGGCATAATTTTTACACAAAATTCTCTCTCCCAAACTTACTCTATATTGCACAAGCAGAAAATATGATAGAGAATTAAGCTAAATAGGTCAATCAAAATTGTGTAAGAAAATAAAATACATAAGAAAGCATAACATAATGGTAAATACAAGTAGTAGTAAACATCACAACTATAGATATCCTCATGAATTGCATAATAATACAACACTCAACAACAAAATAACAAATGAGGGCTTAAATCCATAGAAAAATTACAAGTGAAGTAAAATGATCTCTCTCACGCTGGTTATTGCTTGTACCGGTATAAGACAACCACAAGATTTATACCTTGTC